GACTCGAATTGTGGAAGGGAACCGACTGCTTCGTAGAGAAAGGATTGGACGGGATCGAGACGAGAGATGAGTGTACTGGATGGCTGTTGCAGAGGTCCAGGTGAGACCGGTACCAGCCCCAGGAGGGGTGTCGCAGGTGGAGATATTTGGGTTAATGTTTATAGTTCTTGCTGTTTCCATTGGAGCGGAGAGAGGAAGGCTCCTACTCACCGTGCTTGGTGACACCAATTCTAACTATCACAAAGATTACATATCCGATACATCAATGTTAGAATGATTTACTCTGTGTGTGTGTGTGTGTGTGTGTGTGTGTGTGTACTGTGACTAAATTGCCCATACTTACTTTGCTGCTACCTTAGAAAATGAGATGGAAAAAAGTCACTCTGATAGCACCATCTTGTGGACAGTTGTGAGGTTGTTTTTTTGTTTTTGTTTTTTAATTTGGGTTCAGTAACAACCTCCGAAGACAAAAAAAGTTCCCCAGAGGGTTTACCAGTGATCAGTCACCCCGAGTCCTTCTGGAAAGAGATGGGAGAGGAATACACTCAACAGAACTAAAGTTAAATTGATGTCCTGATAATAACGGACTGGTTGATTGGAACACAGAGAGCCGTTGACTGAAATCACGCGTTCACCCACTCATCATACAGACAGGCCCACGGCTGCAGAGACTCTGGGCCTCACATAACCAGAAGCTTGAAAATACCTTACTTTGGGGTATTTTCTTTTTTTGTTTTTTATCCTTACCTGAGGACATTTTTTGCATTTATCTTCAGATACAGTGGGAGGGAGAGAGGGAGGGAAGAAGGGAGAGAGAAACATCGATGTGAAAGGGACACATTGAGTGATTGCCACCCACATGACCCCAACCAGGCCCGGGACAAACTGCAACCGAGGTACGTGCCCTTAGCGGGAACCGAACCCGGGTCTCTCTGGACCGCAGGCCGACGCTCCAACCGCTGAGCCAGACCGGCCAGGGCTGTTTCGGGGTATTTTCAAATCACCTGGAGGCCACCTCCTACCTCTGGCTGCGGCTCCTCTGCCCCCTTCCCAGGCCTTTACTGGTCAGGAACCTCACCTGGGGGCTGACACTGATTCTTCGGACCCTGGTGTGGGCCCAGCTCTTCTCTGGCTCCCTGTGCACCCCGACATCACCTTACTTATCTGCAGGGATTCCCCTGCGTGTGTCTCAGGTCCAGACCTCTCCTCTGAGCCCAGATCCTTAATTCTCCCTCTCCACAGGAATGTTCGTGTCCAGGGCTGAACTGGTGACTTTCTCCTCTTCCAGTCTGTGTTCTTCCGTGTTCTCAGAGTCCGCGGAGGCACAGCCACGGGCTTTCAAACCAGAGACGTTAATGCCTGAGCCCTCCTGCTCCTTTGCCCCCTGCCGCTGCCATCTCTCGCCCTCTGTCGTCCCCTGCCCCCCGGTATATACCCACTCTGCTCCGTGGGTATCAGCGCGGCTCTGTCCCGGGCCTGCCCCGCCTCGAGCCCGGCCGCAGCTCCCTACTGGTCCTGCGTGGACCCTGAGCTCTCGCCACCTGTTCTCCACATGCAGGTGCTTTTCAACATACAGATGGTGCCAGGTCACCGAGCTCCTCCCGAGGCTGCGCGTGCCCCTCGCCCCTGCTGCCTGGGGGTCCTCGCCGCCCGCCCACTGCCTCTCAGCCCCCCACCCTGCTCTCTGCACTGAACCCCGCTTCCCGTCCCTCGGGCTCAGTCACCACGGGCTTTGCCCCTCTGTCCCTCTTCCTGGCCCGGTAACCTCCACTCGCCTCCGGCCTCAGCCTAACGGCCGTTCCTCACAGAGGCTGTGTCCTAAACTCCAGGCCTGTGTTATAAGACGCTGCTCCTCAGAAGTCCCTTCCCTTCGAACCCTTATTTCTCTTTTTTTAACAAAATATTTTCTTTATTGATATATTAGAGAGAGAGAGACATGGATGAGAGAGAACATCAACTGGCCGCCTCCTGCACGCCCCCCACTGGGGATCAGCCCACAACCTGGGCATGTGCCCTGACTGGGAATCGAACTGGGACCTCTTCGTGCAGGGTCGACGCTCAACCACGGAGCCACACCCTTCATAAGGGCCAGGCAAACCCTTATCTCGTTCTCCAAGTTCGCATTCATCGTGACTGCTGTGGTCGGGGCCCCAGAGCACGGACGCTCCGCGGGCGAAGAGGGCCGGCTGGCTGCCCCCTCTGTTCCTCCAGCCCCGCCCGGCACACGGGCGGCTTAAAAAGTCCCCGGATGAATGAATGAGCGGCCCTGTCTCAGGGCCCTGACGAGGCAAAGACAACCGTCGACGTTGCCTGTAGTTTGTGTTACTCGCTTACAGAGGACACCAGGTCCAGGTACGAGGAAGTTCGGCGTAACCCGGAGAGCACCCAGCTGGACGCGGGGAGGGGCGCTCAGGCCTGTCCCCGGCCGTCCCGCCGGGACGTGGTGAGGACGCGCTTGGAAGTGTGACACACGTCTTCCTTAAGAGCAAATGATGATTTGCAGGGACGCTCCCGTCCAAGTCCATATTTGAGAAGAAGAAAGGATTTGCCGTCTCCTGCAGGGCCCAGTCCCGCTACAGACACAGTCACTGAGGTGACTACTCAGAAAAGTGATTTATGTCCGGTTAAGCCCATTTGTGCAAATGGCTTTCTCCTGCTGTGTCTGAGATGCTGAAGGGACAATTAAAGTCACTGTTCGCAAAACGCAAGTTCAAAGGCGAACCGATGGCCCTGGGAAACGTCTTAACTACTTTTAAATAACACGTTTTTCCTTTAAACACTTTTACTTATTACCGAGTGCCCTGTTTATACAATAAAATAAAAACTTATCTTCGCTCAGCCGGTGCGGCTCAGTGGTTGAGAGTCGACCCTGCACCAAGAGGTCACCGGTTTGATCCCCGGTCAGGGCACATGCCCAGGTTGTGGGTCCCAGTGGGGGGCATGCAGGAGGCGGCCAATTGATGTTCTCTCTCATCGACATTTCTATCTCTCTCCCTTTCCCTCCCTCTCTCTCTAAAATCAATAAAGAAAAAAATAAATAAAAAAAACATGTTGACACCGAACATTGACATGCAAAGTTATTAATTCCATCATATGTCAAAATTATTATACCTCAATGTATACAACATAGATTCTTGTTTTTTCCTGCATGATTTTATTTATAGATCTGTTCCCAGAATAATTTAAGACAGAGTACAGCCACCTATAAAATACGGCAACATAATATATATTCCAAATCAGTTAAAAACTCAGAGAGAAAATACAGCAGGGACAGAAAACAAGTTCGGAAACGGGGTCCGTGAGAAGACGCCCTTTGTGAGAACGAACGCTCGGCGAGGCAGTGCCGCTGGCTGTCTACCCAGCAGTCCCCCACCCTCCCTGGTACGGGACTCGGATGTGCTGCTCGGTCCTCGAGGGTCGACCCTGGTCTGAGAGGGTCGTGGGCCGAGGCTGGACCGTCCTCGCTGTGTGAACCGCAGGGGTGAGGGCTCGGATCGGTGGGTGTCTCCCTTGGCAGGCTGCTTCCAGCAGTCCACTCCAAAGGGACATTTCATCCTACATAACTCAGTGTCCCTAAAACAAAAGCAGGGCTGATCCGCAGGAAAAGCGAGGACCACACGAGACGAGGATCTGCAGGGATTCACTCCTTTGTCCCGTGTCCTGAAAATCCTAAATGGAGATGCCCATGATACAAACCACAACCAGCAGCCCAAGCCAAATCGGCTTCTCTTTTGACATAAGTTATTACTCACCTTGAAGTTTCATTTTCTGAAAGCTCCTAAGTTAAAACATAGATATATATTTTGAGCCAAATGAAAATGCATTAACAAATTAACTTGGAAAATGCGTACAGACAAGTTGTTCTTTACAAAGTACCCTTCTCCTGGTGAATGCAAACCCCCGAGGGTGTGAGCCGGCAGATCAGCGGGGTGGGTGGGAGGGAGGTGGAGGCACTTCCTGTGAACCCCTTCAGAAAGAACCTGGGCTCCCTGGCCGGTGTGGCTCAGCGGTTCGAGCATCGGGCCGTGGACCAGAGAGTCCTGGTTCCCGCTAAGGGCATGTGCCTCAGTTGCAGTTTATCCCGGCCCCTGTTGGGGTCATGTGGGTGGCGACCAGTCAGTGTGTCTCTCTCACATCCATGTTTCTCTCTCCCCCTTCCTTCCTTTCTCCCTCCCATTCTATCTGAAGATAAATGTAAAAATGTCCTCGGGTGAGGTTAAAAAAAAAAGAATCTGTGTATGTCTTTGGAAAAAGCGTAGGCGTTCAACAGGGTAGGGAAGGATCCTATTCCTAGGAGAACTGCTTCTCCTGCGACACCAAGCAACTGCAGAGGGCTTAACGAAGACCAAAGAGATGACACCTGAAGACGTTCTATTTTTATGCGTCATTTCGTTTTCTCTCGGGACCAGCCTCCCTCCTCTGTCTGTGTGTCTGGAGCCCACTTAGGAAACTCACGGCGCCGTGAGAAGGAATGTCCCCGCCATGTGCCCGCCCGCCCCGGGTGCCCGCCCCCGAAACAGCGCCCGACTCAAGCCCCACGGAGCCCAGTCACTCTGTCAGTGACACGGCGTGCTCCTGTGGGCCCACGAACTGTGACCTTGGAGAGGGGTGCTGCCCCCGCCTGGGAGTCTCTGGGAAGCTGGAGTTCCTGCCATAGCTGAGGAGCGGCGGGTGCCTTGCCGGTGACTTCATCGCCGGTGACTTCATCGCCGGTGCGAGCCACTGCCCAGCCCGCCGTCCTCGGCCAGACGCACACGAGAAAGGGCTACTTCGGAAACCACGCGCAGGAAAGAGACTTCTTCTCTTCTGGATACAGTGGGTATGGAGGGTAACCTCCCAGGTCCCCCCCAACACTGCAAGCAGCAGCCGAGGGCTCATCCCAGACCCCCCTAAACTGCTAGTGGAGTTTTTCTGTGGGCAACGTAGATGGGAAATGATCTCCCCCAAATTAGTCATCGCCTTCCAGCAGTTCGGACGCTGTGTCGCATCTCCTGGCGACTTCAGAACAAGGGAACGGTTCCGTTCCAGTCGATGGTGGCGTCTCTCCACTTGGTTCTGATAACCATCTCCACCGGGGAAAACCGTCTCCCTGGCCCACGTGTGTCCTCGCGTCGGTCCCGTTCCCAGTGGTGGGAGTGAGTGTCTGAGGGAGGAACGGCGGCCAGTTAGACGCCAGCCTGTGACCACGTCCCAGAGGAAGGCAGGGCGGGTGGCAGGAGGCAGGCTCAGCACGTGGGTTCCTGAGCCAGCAAGCAGACAGGGGTGGTGCGGAGGAAAACTGGGTGGTTGTGCCTTTTGGAACATGAACTCTGGTAAGTCATGTGATACCCGTGGCCACAGCATGTCTAACATAGAGCCAGGGATAGGTCGCCGGATGTGTCAGGAAAAAGGGAGAGCTATCACCTCTCAATGCTTCTAGGGTACATTTGCATTTTGGGGTGAAGAGCAAGGTATTGATTGTAGCAAGGGAATCAACAACTGGGTTCAAGACCCACACTCATTTCATACAACATTTGAGGAGGTACTGAACACCTCTGTGCCTCATTAATTCAATTAGCAACTATTAGCCATCTCAGTTTCTTCTACGTGAAAGTAGGTATCATAGTAGCTACCTCACATGATGGTGGGACATTTAAAGGGATAAGGTTTCAACAGTGCCCAGAACAGAATGCTCGCAATGCACGTGAACTAGTAAAAACCACGCTTCCCTCAAAGAAGACCGTAAAGTAGAAATGATCATATATTTTAAGGAACATATCGGCCATGTCCCACTACGTTAAAGGGGCTCATATATATTTCTCACAATTAAAGAAAAAGGATTAGGAGCTTCGGATAAGTCGGTCACTAAGAACCTTCCAGATTTAGTCACAATGACGAGCAGGCTTGTGATGTCTGCACGGAGCCAGAGATGAAATGGACAGGCTGCTGAGACAAATCAGAGCTACCGGACGCAGACGCCACGCCCCTCACTTTTATTCCCTTGGTCAAATGGTCAGTGTTAAAAGCCATCTTTTATTTTCTGCTCACTCGAGGATATTTTCCCATTGATTTTTTTAAAGATAGAGCCCTGGCCGGTTTGGCTCAGCGGTCAGAGCGTCGGCCCGTGGACCAGAGAGTACTGGGTTCAGTTTCTGCTAAGGGCACGTACCTCGACTGCAGTTTGTCCCCGGCCCTAGTTGGAGTCATGTGGGTGGCAGCCACTTGATGTGTCTCTCTCAAGTCGATGTTTCTCTTTCTCTCTCTCTTCCTCCTTCTCTCCCTCCCTCTCTATCTGAAGGTAAATGCAAAAATGTCCTCGTGTGAGGATTAAAAGATAAAAAAAAGGATTAAAAAAAGATAGAGTACAAGGGTCGGCTGGTGTAGCACAGTGGTTGAGCGTCGACCCTGCACCCAGAGGTTGCGGGTTTGATTTTTGGTCAGGGCACATGCCCACATTGTGGGCCTGATCCCCAGTGGGGGGCGTGCAGGAGGAAGCCAATCTATGTTCTCTCTCATCGATGTTTCTATCTCTCTCTCCCTCTCCCTTCCTCTCTCTCTCTAAAAAATAAAGGGAAGAAACAATTTTTAAAAGAGTGGAAGGGAGGGAGAGAGAGAAAAACATCTACGAGAGAGAGGCACCAACTGGTTGCCTCCTGAACAACCCCAACCAAGGCCGGGGATAGAATCTGCAACCCGGGTACGTGCCCCCGACTGGAATCAAACTCTGGACCCTTTGGTCCGTGGCCGATGCTCTAACCGCTGAGCAAACTGGCCAGGGCTGTAAAACTATCTTAAGGTGAGTCTCTTCCCCTCCTGAGTTTTAAAACCGTGGTTGGAGTGGCCATGACATGAGCCATGCGGCTGTCCGCCCGCCCCGCCGGACCAGCGCCTCCTGGCGTTTGCAGGGCTGTGCCTTTGTTTGCCTGCTCTCCTGGCGTTTGGACTGGCCCTAGGCCCTCAGCACGGCCTCGTGACTCATCTGGACAGAAATGCACCACCAGGCTGGTTGCTTTTGTCACCAGACGGTCATCGGACGTTGGGCTGTGGGACAGAAATGGCCAACTGGAACCCCTCCTCCCAACTCATTAGTTTTTCTGGCTCTTTCCTCAGGTGTGAAATGCCACAGCTCAGAGATAAAAGACCCTGCAGAGGGCATTCTGGAAATCTGACCCCACCTTTCGTATTTCTCTAACCTAGAAGTTACTTGTTCCTCTGTGCTCCTGCTCCGCGCTCCTAGGCACAGCGGGTGAGCGTTCCCAGGTGGCGGGGGGCTTGGGCCCACGGGCTCAGCGTGGGTTCCTTCAGATACCAGCCTAGCATCCGCAGACCTAGCCCTAATCGCCCCGGCGGGCACACGTCTCCTCGGGCACGCACCCGGGCGGCCCCCAGGCTCGGAAATGCTCACCGACTGTCAGACGGGCAGGCTTTTTCTGGGAGGGCCGCCCCCCATAGAAGTACAGGTCGAACAGCCGCTCCGTTTTCCAGTCTGATAGGAGCTGCCTGTCGGTGCTGAAAAGGACGCCGTAGCTTCCGTTGACGTCGCACAGCCAGGTCGGGAGTCTGGGCGTCTTCAGCCTGCTGCCCACCTGGGGGAGAAGCAAGCGGAGGTGAGGCCCAGCGTTGGGCTCTTTGCGGGGCTGATCAGGAGGCTGGTAGCGGGCGGGGCCCTGGCGGGGAGGGGACACGAAGGAAGCGCGTGAGCGTGTTTGCATTGTGAGCATGTTTGCATTCACGAACGTGTGCTCTGGGGCGCACGCTGCAGTCCTCTTGGCGGATTTTCTTTGAAAGGCGTCTGAGGGCGACCTCAGGGAGGAGACGGGACACCTGCGTTTGGGTTCGCTGAGGGGCAGGCACGCAGGTACAGCGGTGTGAGTGGAGGTGGAGTGAGAACTCCAGTTTGTCCTCGTCACTGGCTGCTGTGGAGGCTCCTGTTCCCGAGAGGACAGATTCCGTTCAGCAGGGGGTCCGGCTTCCAGCGACGCCGGCCATTTAGGATACGGGGAAAGATGATTCAGGATAGAGAAATATAGAACACAAATACATATATTTATCCTCACCCGAGGATATTTTTACATTTATCTCCGGATAGAGTGGGAGGGAGAGAGAGAGAAACATTGATGTGAGAGAGACACATTGAGAGGTTGCCACCCACAGGACCCCAACCGGGGCCGGGGATGAACCACCACCAAGGTCCATGCCCTTGGCTGGAATTGAACACGGGACTCTGGTCGGCAGGCCAACGCTCTAACCGCTGAGCAAAACTGGCCAGGGCAAATATATATTTTTAATTCTCGCCCGAGGATATGTTTTTATTGATTTGAGAGAGGAAGAGAGAGAGAGAGAAACATCGATGTGAGAGAGAAACATGGATCAGTCGCCTCCCATTGTGCCCCGGCCGGGATTGAACCTGCCACCTTCTGATGTACAGGGCGATGCTCCAGCCAACTGAGCCACCCGGCCAGGGCTAGAATATTTTGACTGTAGAAAAAAGCATCTGGGAAATGAGGTGAACACATACACACACACATACTCACACATATATACACATATCTGTATGTTAACACGTAGCTCAATTATGAGGATGTATTTAGAACTAAATGTACTAGTTTCCCTTACATACAGAAGTTTACTGCCACAACCAGATTGTCATCTGTTTTGTCCAGACAAGGGTCAGTTTGGCCTTGAAGTCTCATAGCTAGTGGGCCAGAGTCACAAAAGCAGCACACTGAGGCCCCGGACTAAAAGGGCCTGCACAGTTCATAGCCCGGATGGTGTCGCAATATTGTAGCACGTTTCTATTAATGATACTTACCATTTTGTTCAAAGGGGCAGGGAAGCAAATATATCTATAGAGGTTGCCATTAAAGCTTATTGACATGAAGCACAATTTTTTCCTACTTAGAGAGAGAAACACAAGCCCCATGGAAAAACCCACCGTGTCCACGTGATGCCCGGGAGAGCAAGTGGACGGTCCGCCCTGGTGTGTCTTCAGGCGGGATCCGAGTCTCTCCCTTTCCTGCTCAGTCCTCAGAGTTGGACCGTGTGCTCAGGAACAAATTCTGTCTCATGGAAAATCCAGCTTTGGAAAATTATCATGTGTTTTATAAACCCCAGCACTAAAGGCCAATGACTTGATATTTTGATTTCTCAATAATCTTTGTTTTTCTTTAAATTCTTCAGTATGAGCCACTCAGACATGCATGTGTTTGTAAGCTTTTCACTACCACAGAATCATTACATGGTCTCAGTTTTTGTTGATAGTTTAAAAAAGTGGTACAAACCCAGCACCCCAATCTGGACCTGCTCACAGTGGGTGCAGGGTTTGCTCATCTACCCACACTCCAGTTGGCCCCTCAGGGCTGCCAGCATCTCCCATACCAACGTGGGCAAGTCACCCACTGGCTGCATTGAGAATAAACACCGAGGAGGTGTCCTTCAAGCAGCTGCAAGTGTTTACCTTCCAGAATCCACCCCCACCTTCCAAATACCATTGTAGCCATTCGTTAGTTATAACACTGTAGCCATTCGTTAGTTATAACACTGTAGCCATTCGTTAGTTATAACATTGTAGCCATTCGTTAGTTATAACACTGTAGCCATTCGTTAGTTATAACACTGTAGCCATTCATGAGTTATAACCTTGTAGCCATTCATGAGTTATAACACTGTAGCCATTCGTTAGTTATAACATTGTAGCCATTCGTTAGTTATAACATTGTAGCCATTCGTTAGTTATAACACTGTAGCCATTCGTGAGTTATAACACTATAGCCATTCGTGAGTTATAACATTGTAGCCATTCATGAGTTATAACATTGTAGCCATTCGTTAGTTAGAACATTGTAGCCATTCGTTAGTTAGAACATTGTAGCCATTCGTTAGTTATAACATTGTAGCCATTCGTTAGTTATAACACTGTAGCCATTCGTTAGTTATAACACTATAGCCATTCGTGAGTTATAACATTGTAGCCATTCGTTAGTTATAACATTGTAGCCATTCATGAGTTATAACATTGTAGCCATTCATTAGTTAGAACATTGTAGCCATTCGTTAGTTAGAACATTGTAGCCATTTGTTAGTTATGACATCAACACCTTCTTTGCCTTCTTGCTGACCTTCTCTACTAAGGTTACATATAATCAAAGCAGGATCCACAGGACATGGAAGTATTAGTGTTGGAAATCCTGGATAAGCTAATTAGGAGAATGCTACTCCTTTTGATCTTCAGGTGGCTATTCTGGCTGACTTTAAACTAATAAGTGTTCCTGTAAAGAATGTCCGGTGGATGTATTAGAATATAGACACATATGATATTGTTTCACAGAATCTTTGTCATGTAGGCAACATTCAACTGGCAGTCAGCTAGCATACTCTGCAAGGAGCTAACACCACACCAGTGTTACTTTAGACAACAGGTCGCAGCTTTCTTTCCTGGACTCAAAGCTATTCAGGATGTTATTCGAGTAGGAGGAACATGGACAGTTGACCCTTGAACAATGTAGGGTGGGGTTAGTGGCTCTGACGCCCTGGGCAGTTGAAAATCTGTGTATCACTTTGGACTCCCTCAAAACCGAACTTGTCCCTCAGTTTTAGTAGGGACTGGTCCCAGGACCCCCATGCACTGGCCGACGCTAAGTCCTCTGTATACGATGGTGTGGGCCAAGGTGTTCTCGGCCCTCCACGTCCACAGATTCAACCTCAGATCCACACATAAGTGGGCGACGGAGTTCAAACCCATGTCGTTCAAGGGTCAGCTGTACAGTTATAAATACAACAACCTCCAACCCCCAGAGTGACCACACAGGGACCCTGCACGGAGCAGGCAGAGCTCGCTTGCCTTGGGAGATTCTGGTGAGAAGGAGAAGGTCATGTGTGACTGTTGTGATACTTGGGGTCTTAACTCTCAGAGGCAAGTCTCTCAATTCCAGCTGAGAACACACCTGTGTTAAAGGGAGGCCTGCAGTCCGGCTGGTGTGGCTCAGTGGTTGAGCGTCAACCCTGCACCAAGAGGTCGCTGGTTCAATTCCCAGTCAGGGCACATGCCCAGGTTGTGGGCCAGATCCCCAGTGGGGGGCGTGCAGGAGGCAGCCAGTCGATGTTCTCTCTCACTGATATTTCTATTTCTCTCTTCCTCTCCTTCCTCTCTCTCTAAAATCAATAAAGAAAAACATAATAACCAAATAAAATAAAAAGATAAAGTGAAGCCTGCAAAAACACAACAAAGCAACCCCCCAGTCACATCCAGCCAAATATCCCACCCCCTTCTTTTTTTGGGCAGACCCCCTAATCCGTCTGGTTGGAATTTTCAGTCAAGAATCTGTATTGCGTTTAGGTCGTTTGTCAGCACCCCCACCCCCACACCAAGCAGGATTCCAAAGAGGCTTTCCTGGTGCAATTCCACCAGTGAAGAATGGTGCCTGCGCCTCCTGTTGCCATGGCAAAAAGGTGTGACACAGCGCTCCTATAAATAAAACACCTGTCCTCTGAAGTTCACTCGTTATGTAACCAGCCCAGTAGGTTCTGCCTTACAGGCGGCGGCCGAGCCTTGCACAACATGATCAGTGAAGCCAAAGTCAAATGACCAGGACGGGGAGAGGAGGGACCGACTCGAACACTAGAGCGCACGGGCTGAGCCCGGGCCTTCTTCGGCCACTAGAACCACGGCACTGGGACGCACCTTTGCACACTGCGCCCGACGGTGTCAGGCCCAAGGCCCCGTCTGGCAATCGAACGGGAGGAGGGGGTCGGAAGCCTGTGCCTTCTTCGCTGGCTCCGGGGACGACCCAAGGGCGGAGATGTCAGTGGTCTGGCGCGGAGGTGCCACCTGGAACAGAGCGCGTTGCAGTCCGCTGTGGCGTGTGTGGGGTGCCCTCGGTGATTCGGGCAGCGCATGTGCTGCACCCCAAGTGGTCCTATTACGGCTGGAGTTTCAGTCTCTCTAAAGGGAAAATAATGCGGGAAGAGGGCCAGCAGAGCAGGGGCTGAGCTCCGCCCGGGGAGGGACTCCGGCCAACCTGAGTGGCTTCGGTCCCCTCTGGAAGCAGAGGTGGCGTTTCTTCCCGGCGGCAGGTGTGAAAATAACGTGAACCTCTTGAGGTTTCCGATGGTGTTCGACCTGAACTGCTGTCTGTCCTCACTTAGGTATTGGAACCTCTCCCTCCAGCCTGGACCTTCCCGTAGACACGGTGCCCCCTGCGGGTGGCTGGCTGCGGTCCGCGGGCACGTCAGTCTGGTGGGCTCTGGGCGTTTGCATGTCATCTAACGAAAGCTCCATTTTAAAAAAAATCTCACCCACTGGGTGGTGACATCGGGACTGAATGACATGCGTTTGCAGCCTGTGCGATTTTCCGCAGGGGAGGGAGAGGCTGGCTTCGCGAAGACAGACAGCGCGGAGGGTGGTTTCACCCCAGCAGCACCCCAGCACCCCTTCTGCCGCGGGGTTTCATGACCAGTGCGCACATTTCATCTTCCAACTTATAGCATCCATCCTAGCAAGAGCCTCTAACCGTCCACAAGGTGCTTATAGACCCCATTGGCATACTCGAGGTCCCTCCATGGGGTCCCCAGCCTCAGAGCAGAAAGG